ACCGCAGTTGACTACATGGGAGTCCAGCAACATAGCCGTTACACCAACTATTGGTCCTGACAAATTATTTTTTTAAGAGTCACTTTAAAACAAATCAAAAAAGTATACAGCCCTTTTTTCCTTTTTTTTTTTTTTTGTGGTCATAGAGCACATATGCTTCCCAGAGTCCAAGAAAGGAAAAGTCAGAAATCATCCCTCTAGGGATGGAATTGCATTAGCTGTTTTACAATTACGACAGAAGGAGGGGGGAAATCTCTGTGGGGCAACACATAATTACATTGGTGAGTCCTTCCAATTTTATAACCAACCAAGGTCAGAGAAAATGAGGCACCTTCTCAGCGGCCACGAGGCCAATACATACATCCAACTCGCCAACACATGCTTTTCCCTCCAAATTCCTTGAGCAATAATTCCTCCAGAGACTTCTACTGTGTGATATAAAAAGAAAAAACTTTTTAAATTCTCTCTCTTTTTTTAGATTTTTCCAAAGGGCACATGTACTCCACCAGAGAAAGACAGACAGAGAGAGAGAGGGAAAGTGAAAAAGGAAGTCATCACATCCAGGGCTTGAACTGTCGGCCATGTGAGAGTCCTGTATTTTAACCACTATGCCACCTGCCAACCTTAACACCTGGTGTGATTTTCAAGCTTCTGGGTCAAGGATTTGTTTTCTTTCTTTCTTTCTTTCTTTCTTTTTTTTTTTTTTAGAGGTTTTTGCTTAGGGTACATGCGCACACCAGACAGACAGAGAGAGACAGAGAGACAGAAAGTGAGAAATCACCCCCCAGGGGGGATGGCCATGCCGCAATCCCTTCTCCTCCATTCTCCTCTCGGGATCTTGGGCACACAAACACACACCTGGTATGAGTTTTAAACCATCGGGTCTGGGACGTGAACTGCGGTCAACTACGTGGGAGTCCAGCAACATAGCCATTACGCTAACTGCTGGTCCCACCAGGTCAAGGATTTGAATCACAAAGTTGACCATGTGGGATCCAGCGTGTTAACCTCCATACCTGCTGGTCCATAGTTTCCGTCATTGTTCATGTATCATGTTATCATTATAGGGAAGTTTTGTCTTTCTTTTTTAGTTTTTTTTTTTTTTTGCCATCGAGTGTATACACTTACCAGAGAGAGATAGTGAGAGGAATAGTGAGAAATAACCCATCAGTGAGGTTGGCCGTGCCGCAATCCTTTCTTCTCCATTCTTCTCTTGGGATGTTGGGCATACATGCACACTCACCCAGCGTGGGTTTCAAGCTGCCAGGCCCAAGACTTGAACCACCATCAACCATGTTAGAATCCAGTGACTTAATTTTTTTTTTTTTTATTTCTGCCAGAGGACATGTGCATTAGCTGAAGAGAGACAGAGAAAGGGAAAATGAGAAATCATTTTCCTGTGGGGAAGGCTCTTCTCCATTCTCCTCTCTAGATTTTGGGCATACACTGTGAATTTTTTTAAAAGAATTACTTATTTAATTTTATTATTGTTATTATTTTTTAATTTGTGGGGGCCAGCAGGTGGTGTGGGGTAGCTATGTTGGTATAGGCCAGCAGGTCAAGGTGCCGGACTTCCATGTGATTGCCTGTGGTTCAAGTCCTAGATCTGTTGGCTTGAAACACGCCAGAGGCATGCCCAAAGTCCTAAGAGGAGAATGGAGGAGAAGGGATTGTGGCGTAGCCATCCCCCTTGAAGGCTGATTTCTCACTTTCTGTCTCTCTGTCTCTCCAGGGAGTGTACATGTCCTATAGGAAAAAATCTCTCAAAAATAAATAAACTTTGCTATAGGTCACATGCACTCACCAGAAACACACACACACACACACACACACACACACACAAAGGGAGAGGGAAAGTGAGAAAGCAAACAGGCAGGTCTGCGACTGGAACCTCAGTAGTCCACGTAGGAGCCTAGCGCCTTAACCGCCACACCACCTGCTGGTCCCAACTCACTGAGATCGCCAAACCGCCAGATAATGGGACTCGAACTGCAGTTGGTCATGTTAGATCCAATGCTTTAACCATCACATCACCTGCTAGAAGAGGAAGAAATATTAAACCTTGTATACCAAGTTTACATAGAAAAAATGTTAGATGAATAAATTTACATATTTCTAAGAAGTAGCCCTTTGGCCACAGGAAATAACCGCTTGGAAAACTAATACTAAAAAGTCTCCCATGACGTCAGACTTGCTCATACAGTCCACTTGACCCATAGGTCAAATTCAGGACTGTAGATCTGGGTTGGGTTTATGGCCTTAAGATACCAGTTTTGGGGCCAGCAGGTGGCCTGGTGGTTAAAGGGGCTGGACTCCCACATGGCGGTTGACCACGGTTCAAGTCCTGGACCTGGTGGCTTGCTTTCTCGCTTTCCCTCTCTCTCCTTCTCTGTCTCTCTCTGATCGAACTGGAAATTAAAAATAATAAATAAAGTTAAATAAAAAAATAATTATTTAAAAAAAAAAGATACCAGTTTTGAAGGGCTAGGTTGGCTGGTAAGTACTTCGATGGATTCTTTGAATCTTCAGGTTGATGAAAGTTCAGTTTCAGCTACTAAATGGTCTGTTATCAAGTAGAAGACTTCTAGATGTAGGAGCTACTCGTGGAAACATCCTGAAGCTACACGTTAGATGTTGGAATGAGGTTCAAAAGGTTTAAGTCTAGCTTTTCCGCCCGCTCCTCGCTCCCACCGAGGGCCGCACCGGCTGCACCGCCCGAGCTCCGAGCTCCGGGGCTCCTACTCAGCAAGCGCCGCCTTGGTCTCCCTCCAGCAGCCACCATGATTATCAACTGGGACCTTATCAGCCACGATGAGATGTTCTCCGACATTTACAAGATCGGGGAGATCGGGGACGGGCTGTGCCTGGAGGTGGAGAGGAAGATGGTCAGTAGGACAGAGGGTAACATTGATGACTTGCTCTTTGGTGGAAATGCCTCACTGAAGGCCCTGAGGGCGAAGGTACAGAAAGCACAGTAGTCACTGGTGTTGACATTGTCATGAACCATCACTCACAGGAAACCGGCTTCACAAAAGAAGCCTACAAGTACATCAAAGATTACATGAAATCAATCAAAGGCAAACTTGAAGAACAGACCAGAAAGAGTAAAACCGTTTATGACAGGGGCTACAGAACAAATCAAGCATATTCTTGCTAATTTCAAAAACTACCAGTTCTTTATTGGTGAAATGAATCCCGATGGCATGGTTGCTCTACTGGACTACCGTGAGGATGGTGTGAGCCCATATATGATTTTCTTTAAGGATGGTTTAGAAATGGAAAAATGTTAACAAATTTGGCAATTACTTTGGATATATCACCTGTCATCATAATTGACTACTGCTTGTCATCCACAAAACACCAGGACTAAAGACAAATGGGACTGATGTCCTCTTGAGCTCTTCATTTATTTTGACTGTCATTTCTTTGGAGCGGAGGCATTGTTTTTAAGGGAAAAAACATGTCATGTAGGTTTGTCGTTTGTCTAAAAATAAAATGCATTTAAACTCAAAGAAAAGTTTTAAGTCTAGGACCATCTGGTGGCGTGGTGGTTAAGGCTGCTAGATCCCACGTGACCAACTGCACAGTTCCAGTACTGTACCCCTGGAAGCCATACCTGGCGTGTTTGTCTATGTGCCCAAAACCCCGAGAGAAGAATGGAGGAGAAGGGATTGCGTGAATTGGCCACCTTCCTAGGGTGAATTCCTACTTTCCCTCTCTCTTCTCTCTCTTTCTCTCTGTCCCTCTCTGACAAGCACATGCACTCTAAGACAAAACTATTATTTTTGAAAAAAATTATTTAATTTTATTTATTCATTTATTTTAATTTGACCATAGAGAGACCCAGAGAGAGAGAGGGAAAATGAGAAAACAAGCCACCAGGTCCAGGACTCAAACCATAATCAGCCATGTGGGAATATCCAGCGCCTTAACCACCAAGCCATCTGCTGGCCCTGACAAAACTATTTTTTAAAAAGGTACAAGTCTAGAACACAGTAAGTCATGCTGTTAAACCAAAAGAAAAATGAAAGATAGTACTCAGAGAAGAATTTAGCTGACCTCCAAATAATTTCATTTAAAGAACCTTGAAGAGCTGGCCCTGTAACCTAGTGGTTAGCTGAGCTAGATCCTACATGGCTGATCATGGTTCAAATTCTGGCCCTGGCAGCTCAAAAACACCCTGGGTGCTTGTCTATGCATGCCCAGAATCCTAACAGGATGGAGAAATGGAAGACAATGGATTGCTGAGTGATTATGTGTCACTGGGGGCCTTTTCTCTGGTTCCCTCTCCTTCTTGGAGAGGAAATGTCTGTGGGGAGTGCATGTGTCCTTTGGCAATTAAAAAAGGAAAAGAACACTTCAAAAAGAAAAGATATAATAAAATAAAAGGAAGTGAACAATGATCAAGTAATACAGATTTTAACCCAAATTGTTATAATAACAAAAAAGAAAATTCCACCAATTTTCCTGACTTATTTACTCAGAGGTTTCTTGAGAAAAAGAAACAAGAGCTGTTTGCTCCCTGTTCGCCTTTTTTAAGCTCCCTCTTGGCAAACAACACCTACTCATTCGAGAAATTTTCATCCTAGAGCATAAATCAGCCCTCAGGTGTTTGGGCTGCGCACCACAACTGTATGATCAACTGCCTTTAGTGACTCAAGCCAAGCAATAAACAAAGGGTGAATGAACCTCAATGTCTGTGCAGGACTCAACTTGATAGAAATCAAGGGAATTCAAAAACAATCATCTGCCATAACAGGGTTTAGGCCTTCGTTTTTCAGAACACTGTAATTTTTTACAATTTTTCTCTAGAACTCTCTTTATTGGATATATATCTTCCTTCCTTTGCTATAGGGCACATGCACTCACAGTCTTTTATTTTTTTTTTTTCCTTTTTTTTTAGGTTTTTGCCATAGGGCACATGTGCTTGCTGGAGGAGAGAGACAGAGAGACATAGAGAGGAGAAATGAGAAAGTAGCCCCCAGGGGCAGGACCATGCCACATTCCCGTCTCCTCTATTCTCCTCTTAGGATATTAGGCATGCATGCACATACGCCCAGTGTAATTTTTATGGGTCCAGGACTCAAACCACAGTCATCCATGTGGGAGTCCAGCTTCTTAACCACTACGCCTTGTGCTGGCCTCGCTGTGGATTCTTTTGGAAGTCTTATCATGTCACCGTGAGGGTCAGATTGGTTTCAGAAGTACAATGAAAATAATACTAGATCTCATCAATATATCTGAGTTCTAGTCCAACTCTGCTAGCTAGGAGAGTGATCCTTGGACTAGTCACAGAAATAATTTTTTTTCTTTTTTTTCCCCAAAGACAGTCTTTCTATTTTGAGGCTGGCCTGCTGCCTCAGCCTCCCAAATTGCTTTGACTACAGGCACTGCCACCCACCCAGTTTTCAAAATACTTTGTCCTGGGCCTTAATGTCTTTATCCCTCACTACTTAAGTCAAGACCAAATAAAGTAATAGATGGAAAAGTGTATTGAAAATTCTAAGGGGCCGGCACGTGGTGAGGTGGTCAAGGGTGCTGGACTCCCACATAGCCAGTCATGATTCGAGTCCTGGACCTGGCAGCTTGCTTCCTTGCTTTCCTTCTCTCTCTCTCTTGCTCACTCACTCTATTTCTCTCTGGTCAAATCTAAATAAATAAATAAATAAAGTTAAATAAAATAATTCTTTAAGAAAAAAAAGTAAAAGAGAAAATCCTAAGATGGACTCTCACATGACTGACCACGATTCGAGTCCTGACCTGGCGGCTTGCTTTTTTTTTTTTTTTAACAAGTATCTTTTTTAAAAAGAATTATTTTTTTTAACTTTATTTATTCATTCATTTAAATAAATAAATAATAAAGTTAAATAAAATAATTCTTTAAGAAAAAAATTCTAAGATGCTATAGAAAGGTAAAATACTATTGCTACTCTTTAACTTTGAAATCACCATTATTAAATCAGTCTTGATAGCTTACCACCCTTTATTCAACCGGAAGATTAGTATCAATGTCAGTTTCATTATCACCATGTATTGAACAAATACCAGACATTATCTGAGCTTTAAGGCACATCTTTCCTGAGATAAGCAGAGTTATTTTTGGTACCTCTACCTCTATTCTTCCTTCCCTTTTCCCAAGAACCCAGAATTCTTACACTATCTTGCAACTTTGAATCAATCAGTGAAGTGAGCCAAGAGACTAATTTATGTTAGAATGTTAATGTTAGGGGACCAGCAGGTAATGTATCAGTAATGTGCTGGAATCCCATAGGGCTGACCATGGTTCAAGTCACAGACCCAGTGGCTTCAAACTCAAGCCAGGCGTTTGTGTGTGCTTGACCAAGATCCTGGGAGGAGAATAGAAAAGGAATTTGGTGTGGCCATACCCCCCCCCCCGGGGGGGGATTTCTCACTTTCCCTCTCACTGTTTCTGTCTCTCTCTCTAGCGAGTGCACACATGCTAAGACGAAAACCTCTTAAAAAGAAAAGGAAAAGAAAGAAAAGAAAAGAAAAGAAAAGAAAAGATGTTAATGTTATCCCTTAAGCTTAAGTGGAGCATTTCTACTTAGAAAGGAGTTTTTGTTTGTTTGTTTGTTTGTTTGTTTGAGTTTACTATAGGGAAGAGTTTACTATAGGGCACATGAGCTCACTGGAGAGACAGAGATGGAGAGAGAGAAAGAGAAATCACCCGCCAGGGGGATGACCATGCTGCAATCCCTTCTCCTTCATCCTCCTCTCGGGATCTTGGGCACACACATATGCCCAGCCTATTTCAAGCTGCCGGTCCAGGACTCAACGCCGTCAGCCACGTGGGAGTCCAATGCCTCCACTACACCACCTGCAGGCCCCTAAAAGGAGTATTGTATATAAAAATAATACTATGGAGCCAGCAGGTGGTGTGGTGGGTAAGGGCACTGGACTCTCATATGCTCGACCATAGATCCAGTCCTGGACCCTGTGACTTGCTTTCTCACTTTCCCTCCCTCCAGCCGTCCCTCTCTATCAAATTTAAATAAATTAATTAATTAAATTAAATAATTTTTTTTTAAAATTCATGCTGGGACCAGCAGTTAGCATAATGACTATTTCGCTGAACTCCCATGTAGTCAACTGTGGTTCGAGTCCTGGACCTGATGGCTTAAACTCACGCCAGGCATGAGTGTGTGTGTGCCCAAGGTCCCGAGAGGAGAATGGAGAAGGGATTTAGGCATGACCATCCCCCGTGGGGGGTGATTTCTCTCTTTCTATCTCTCTGTCTCTCTCTGGCAAGCACACACACCCTATAGCAAAAACCTCTTTAAAAAAAATTCATGCTATTCCCTCTACCTGGAAAAACCTCCTCTTTATGTTTACCTGACAAAACCCTATCTGCCTTTCACATCTCAATTATTGTACAACTTTCCTAAAAACGACTTCCCTAAGAGAGTTACTGTTCCTTCCTATGGATCCCGTTTACCCTTTGTAAACAGTTTTACACTTGTAACCTTATGGGTTAGCATATATGTTAGGATGGGGAAGTATATGCAATAGCTGCCCCGATATTCCTAGGGGTGAAGGGAGTAGAGGGGTTAGGTGGTGAGACCCTGAAGGTCTTTGTTGCACACCAAATAAGAGTTTGTAGTGGGGCTGGCAGGTGGCATGGTGGTTAAGGTGTTGGACTCCCACGTGGACTGGTTCCACATGGAACTGCTGTGGTTAGAGTCCCAGACCTAGTGGCTTGCTTTCTCACTCCCTCCCCCTTCTCTCTCTGCATCTCTCTGGTCAAATTGAATATTAATAATAAATAAATAAAATTAAATAAATAATAATTTTTTTAAAAAAGAGTTTTGTAATCAAGTTTACTCCAGAGAAATGAGGCAAAAGAGAGTTTTAGGATAAGAAATCACAGCCTGGGCTTGTCCCATCCCTCAGCGGTTAAAGGAGCCAGATCTCACAGGGCTGACTGTGGTTTGAATCTCTCCTCGGTGGCTTGAAAACACATGCCAGGGGACCAGCAGGTGCCATGGTGGGAAAGGCGCTGGACTCCCACATGGCCAACCATAGTTTGAATCATGGACCTGGTGGCTTGTTTTCTCACTCTCTCCCTTTCCCTCCCTCTCTCTCTGGTGAGCATACGTGCCCTGTAGCAAATTTAAAAAATAAATAAATAAATAAAATTAGATAAATAAGTCTTTTAAAAAAGAAAAAAACAGGCTGAGTGCATATGCTTGCATGCACAGAATACTGATGGGAGGGAGAAACGGAGGAAAAAGGATTGCAGTGTGACCACACTCTCTGTCTCTCACTTACCAGTGCTGAGCCCTCTAGGAGGAAAGAAAGGAAAGTAGGAGAAAAGGAAAGAAAAAAAGGA